AATGTATTTCTGTGATGCGCAGCTGTATTTCCAGCATCATTCCTCCAGTCTTCAGTGTCACATGATCTTCAGAAATCAGTATAATATGCTGATCTGCTGCTCAAGAAACATTTCTGATTATCATCAATGTTGAAAACAGTTGTGCTGCTGAATATTTTTGAGGAAACAATTTTTTCACTATTCTCTTTGAATTTGATTTGAAATTGTTCTTTGTGTCAGAGCGCTGGAGTTGGTCAGAAATAGAACGGGCATCAGGTTGCTGTCATGGGTTTGTCGCGTCGCGCCGCATGCACAGCAGAACATCACTGGGCTCTATTTGCTTTTGTCTCGTCGCGCCGCTCGCGTCTGCTGTAGACCCCTTGTTTTGGTATTTGGGAATCTTAAGTATATTCATCATCTGCTTTACGTTTATCTAGCACTGGAAGTCCTTTCACAAACTGGTAACTTTCATGCTTCGAGCAGAACCATGCATCGTTCATTTATATTTCTACACGGCTCCGTGCAATACAAGTCTGATTCTTCAATCGCGCCATCTAGTGGTCTGTTATTGATAGAACCACAACTGCTACAACTGATAACGGAGCACTCAAGCGAGTACTGCCAGTCATGTTGAGGTCATTAAAATGTCAAATTAATATTTTGCGCTCAATTATTTACTTATCAGACAAGAGGCCGCATGATAAGTGAGAACATTACGCAGTGGAGTCTTTATCACCCTGCAGAGGTTTCTTTTGCAAAGTAATCTGCTGACTACACGACCCCTCAGTTTGGGAACCACTGGAGCAGGAGATTTGTGCTCTATTAATTTGGTCTGTTTCGATGCCCTGTGTTTGATTACTAATGCCTGTGTAGTACGGCGTTGCACACGGAGAACAAAAACGTTCAGCCTCGACTCTTTATCGTCATTTGTGTTAAAATTTGCAAAGCGTACCAAATTGAACAAAACTATATAAATGCAAAATTTGAATTCATGAATATATAACGGTATCCACGGTATAGCAAAATCCATATCATGGATCCATATCACGTTCATACCGGTGTAGCGCCCACCCCTACATTCACATAGAAAAGTTATTTTAAATTGTAAATATCTCACAATTAGGGATGTAACAATTCGATTCACGATTATTTATTTATTTTAACAAAATGAGATTTAAGACAAATTATAAATAAAATGTGTCCTTTTATTATTGCTTGGACAAAATGCTGCACATTTCTTTGTGAAATTGAAATATAACACTATAATAATATACTAATTTAGCACTTGCGTATTTTTGCTCTTTTGTTAGTTTTGATTGCTTCTAATGTCCTCTTTTGTAAATCGCTTTGGATAAAAGCATCTGCTAAATGACTAAATTTAAATATAATGTAAATAACAAAACTACGTTTAAATTTTAAAGTTTATTTTTGATCAAATAAATGCAGCCTTGATGAGCAGAAGAGACTTCTTTAAAAACATTCAAAAACGTACTGATCCCACACTTTTGAGCAGCAGTGCACATGTGCTTACAGTGTACTTGCACACTTACCGAAGGAAGTACTGGGTAACAGAAGGTAAGTGCACAGGTTAAGGTTAGACTTAGGGGTAGGTTCAGGGTTAGTACCTAGTTATTACTCGGCTATTGTAATTATTTTGATTACAGTGTAGTATGTACATGTATAATAAAAGAAATTATTAAACATTACAATTCCCCCAATCTGGACTAAGTTACAGATTTTCTCTCACTTAAACAACTCTCAAAATAAAGTGCTCCGTGGCTGGAAAGAGGAAGAAGTAGTTAACTTAAAATGAGTTGCTGTAACAAAACAGATGTCATTTCCCACTATGTTTATAAATGGTAATTTTCCCCCTAACCTTATTAAATGTGTCATCTTTCACGTCAAACTCTTACTTTGTTTCAATTAATTCGGTTAGAATAATACGAAACTGTAGAGTTGTTACCATTGAAATGAAATTAGTCTGAACAAACTCTATCTTTCCACACAAGCTGCATCTGAAGTGCCATTAGATGCATTTACACGGCAAATTTTCAAATGCATAAATAATTAATGATTATAATTAAGATGAATGTTTTATGTATTTTTTAAACATACAAATAAATGTTGAAAAAAAATGCAATGATACTTTGGCCACGTTCACACAGCAGCAGAATACGGTTGTCAGTCCTGTATTTGAGTCCTAAATATGGTTTACGTTCACACACAGCACGGTTATTTTCAGGCGTGACAACCGTATTCTCGGAACACAGGCGCTGTGTGAACGGAACCGGACTGGACAACTAGTTATCGGTCACGTCATCCAGCGCCAGAGGGAGCCGCTTGGATAATTTATCCAAAAACAAATAATCAATATATGAAAATACAAACATTATCGATGTAAAACACTTAAATAATCACAATTTTATTATTAATTACATTAAAGTATTAAATCACATGAAACCTAAATATTATTATACATTTGAGATGGATAAATCCTATACATTCCCCATATTTAAAATAATAAAGCAAAACAAATTTAAAGGATGCCCAACCCATCGCAAAACATTATTTACTCAATTCTTACGAAATGTCTGCCCTAACTCACTTAATAGTGACTCTATTTTATTCTGTTAAACAAAATCTGATCGTATATGGGATACATACTCAATCCAATCTCTCCATACTACTGAAAACACCTGAGACTTGAGTCTTAAAGCATAGGTTAACTTCTCCATTGTAGAAATAGCATGTACTGTGTCCACCCAGTCCTCACGAGCAGGCAAAGTTGGTTGCAGCCACTTTCTTGTAATTGCTTTCTCACTTGCTATGGTTAGGATTCTGAACCGGTATTTGTTTGGAAAATCACTGGAAATCAAACCCAGGTACATCACCTCAAAACTGAAAGGAATGTGTATCTTAAAAGTAATTTCTAGACATTTGTGTATCTCATACCAATATTGTTTAATAGAAATACAGCTCCAGAAAAGATGGAAATGGTTTGCCTTGTCAACCCCGCACTTTCGCCAACAATTGCATCTGTCTGACCGATGCTTGATCTGAGCAGGTGTGGAAAAAAAGCCTAGCAACACCCTTCCACGCAAACTCTCTCCAGAACAGAGAATGTGTAGTTTTCCATTGTGTCTCGTGTACTCTTTCCCACTCCTCTATCGAAAGACTCCGGTTGCCTTCACGCTCCCATCTCTCCTTTATGTATAATGTATCTACCATCTTAGCTTGTTGTAGCCTACTATACAACTTTGAGATCACATTTTTACTGACATCTAATTGATAGGCTAGAAGAAAAACGTTTAATAACCTATCTTCTACTTTCGTTACTCTAACACACACAGGCCTTTGTTTAACTTCACTGTAAGTGTGTGTGTTACGTAATGAATTCACAGCTGATTTGATTCTGTTCGTCGTGTCTAATCAACACACTCCTTCATGAATTAATTTCAGTGTAAATCACCAGTAAACTCATTCTGATGATTTTCAGATTCATGACTGTGTTTGTATTTTCACGTTAGTTTGTGCTCCTGATCGCAGCCGAACATTTGTGTTCCTTTAGTCAAACTGACGACACTACATTAGATAACGCTTTTTATCATAATAATATGTAATAACAACATTAATCAGTTTAATGTGATGTGCTTGTTCCAGATGACTGTGATTCTGAGCAGCAGGAGAGTGTTTGTGTACAACACTATAACTGAACTAGTTATGGCCAATTAATCTAATTTGCAGTTTTTCTAATAACTGGAGCAATCCTGAGATCACGTAATTCACGTAGTTGTAAATGAGGAAAGATTAATTTTATTCACAGATAATTTTATTCTCATACTTGTATATTTCTGAAACTCGTGACTCGTGTTTGTTGGGTGAAAGTGGATGATGAGATGAAATGTGTGTAGACTGTGAATATTTGAGAATGCTGAAAGTTTTGCATAGACGGTAAACCAGTTTCACTCCCTATTTTCATCTCATGACTATGTTTTCAAACACTTGCGTGTATCTGTGCGAGCGTTTTCTGCAGAGAGTCGAAGGTTTGTATTTATAACATGTTTTGGAAGTGTTGAGCATTGGAGCCAATCGCATGAACGCAGTGGACAGTCCGTTTTCTTGTTCATGCCGATAGCTTCACACTGCAGTGCTGACAGCCGTATTTAATTGTGGGATTGAATCTGAGAATGCAGTGATACAGTGATAACCATGAATCAGATGCTGTGTGTCAGGATAAATCTGTGCATTGAGTCTTGCAGTGTAAATGCAAACTAACAGACCTGCCGCCTGTTCTAGTAATCTGTTACTTTCTTCCTCAAAGAACTCGCTTTTTTGTTGCAATAATCACAGCTTTTTGAAGGATGATCTGTATAACTTGCATATTTTTATATTTCTAAGTAAATATGATTTTAATTCATTTTGTGTTCATTTAGTAAAAAGCAGTAAATGATCCCTGATTGTGTCTAGGTTGCTTTCTTTAACTGTTAATTCAGCAGTGATCAGTTTGTATGTACTTTGTAATAATAGCCGTTCTTTTAGATCATGTCTTTCATGTCAAAAAATCAAATGCTGAAATGTGTCTCTGCCGTGTGTGTGTGTGCATACGTGAGTGTGTGTGTGTGTGTTTTTCCATTTCCTTCTCATGTTGTCTGTTTTGGGATGCTGTCCCTTGGAGGGATGGTCTCCATGGTAACCGAGCATCATCAGAGAGGATGCTGGAATCATGTGCTGCATTCATCATCTCTGTGATCCACAGATCATGCGGAGTCGGATCACTGAGTGTGTTTGTTCTTGACTGTCGTTTCAGAGCACGTTAACGGAGGTGCAGTTTGGACCAATGAAGCTCTATGAAGATCAGCTGCAGGTACCGGCTCTTCCGCACTCATACTCCGTGTTTATCCACTGTTTAGAAGGGTTTCTGTAGTAACTCCACTAAACAGTGAGTGTGAACATAAGAACTCGCTTTTTTGTTGCAATAATCACAGCTTTTTGAAGGATGATCTGTATAACTTGCATATTTTTATATTTTTAAGTAAATATGATTTTAATTCATTTTGTGTTCATTTAGTAAAAAGCAGTAAATGATCCCTGATTGTGTCTAGGTTGCTTTCTTTAACTGTTAATTCAGCAGTGATCAGTTTGTATGTACTTTGTAATAATAGCCGTTCTTTTAGATCATGTCTTTCATGTCAAAAAATCAAATGCTGAAATGTGTCTCTGCCGTGTGTGTGTGCGCGTACGTGTGTGTGCGTACGTGAGTGTGTGTGTGTGTGTTTTTCCATTTCCTTCTCATGTTGTCTGTTTTGGGATGCTGTCCCTTGGAGGGATGGTCTCCATGGTAACCGAGCATCATCAGAGAGGATGCTGGAATCATGTGCTGCATTCATCATCTCTGTGATCCACAGATCATGCGGAGTCGGATCACTGAGTGTGTTTGTTCTTGACTGTCGTTTCAGAGCACGTTAACGGAGGTGCAGTTTGGACCAATGAAGCTCTATGAAGATCAGCTGCAGGTACCGGCTCTTCCGCACTCATACTCCGTGTTTATACACTGTTTAGAAGGGTTTCTGTAGTAACTCCACTAAACAGTGAGTGTGAACATGCAGAATATCAGGCTTCCTGCTCATTGTGTGTGTGTGTGT